GACGTTTCAGAGGTCCTTGCTGCCTCCAACATCCAGATTACATGGCGCAACAACTCAGAAGACAGCCATCTTAAAAAATCTAAAAATTTCACACACTATGTGCAATGATTTATCAGTACCTGTCATTAAACCGAAAATTAAACACAGTTCACATCGTGTTCATATTACTGTTCTGTATTCTTAAAAAAATACTTGACAAAATTATTTCTTGAATATCTATTGTTAGGCATTTCATGATATTTAATTAATGGTCCTAGCGTCACGTTCGTACACCCACGGAGTATGTATTTTTGACGGAGGATTATTAGAAGCACAAAACTCTGGTGGTCTACAGCGGCATAACATTTATACTAAATCTCATTCAAAGACATCTGTTCCTCCATAAGCTAATGTAGGGATACTGGAAGCATGCCTTTCCTTAAAAAAACAAGGAAGTTGGAAGATAAAGGTAAAAACACAGAGCACTTGCGTAAGGAAACTATTTATATTTTAAACACGAATGTCTAAATTTTCCTTACGTACAAACACATCCTGAGGGTCAGTCACAAACTATCATTTGGAGAGAACGTTACCGGTGCCCTGTAAAATATTTAAAACTTCAGAAACTACTTTTCTGAGTCACGCAGCCCAAAGAATATGAGCAGTCTCATGAAGCATGCCCCCCCCCCCTCCCGGCTGCCAGCAGAATGTCTACAGATGTACTCAACCTAAATGAAACATTAATTTACCGATGATTTTAAAAAATTCTACGAATCTTCAGTACAGGCATTGCCAAAACTTCTTTCCGAAGTCTGGTGTGCTGCAAATGCAACCAGGTTGATGATCTACCGCCACTTTTCAAAGTGAGTCTTTCTAGCCGGATCGATCCAATGGGAATATACTGACTTCCACTTAAATGTAAATTGTGTTTTAAGTGATTTTTTTAATTTAATGTCTCATGCAGCTCAGTTTTCAATACAATATGTTTTTTATATTCTTCAACTGATTCCTTTCAAGCACTTTCGCGTAGGTTTTTTTGGAAAAAAAAAATACAATTTCAAAATTTTAAAACTGCATATTTTGTTAATCTTTCCTGCCTCCAGCACTAAAAATATTTGACAACAATCAAACAAAAATAATTTGGTAGAGGTTGAAATATGGCAATTACAAGCCTTTGACTTGGGAGTATGAATTTGTAAAATATTTTCAAAAAGATGAGCATAAAGATGTATAGGTCTCATTTTGTTAACCAAGTCTGTAGCAGTATGTTAACCGCAGAGCACGAACGAATTGATCTTTCACAGAAAGTGCATACCTGACCTCTCACGACCATATCTGACTGTCCGCTGGCAGTCGACATTCAAATATTTCGGTATGGCCAAGATTCTGCATAACCAGAAGTCAGTAATAATGACGCCGAGGTTAAGGAGTATACGTGATAATTTATACGAAATCCGGTGATATCAACAGGTCCATACTGTAAAATATAGACCAATATTCTTTGGATATGCATACAACTGCCTATTTTACGCTCGGCAATGGAACAAAATATTTGGTTCATTACGCATATCTTGCACAAAGTAAAAGCATGATAGAATTACTGTACTTGTTCGTCAACTGTTATCGTCTTCGAAATTACAAATGTGACGTGTGTTTAAGATATGACACTCTCTCGGCGACGAAGTTATCGGTATAGCCCTGAGCTCTAGCGCCAAACGGACTCGCAGCCCTGAAAATGAAGACAATGTTGACGTAACGTACTTTTGTAATGAGTTCAACATACAGTTCATCCTTATTTTTGCCAATTATAAATTTCATATCGTAGCCCACCGGTGACCCCCACGGCAGCCAACGTATTAACACGTCGTACTACGAAGGTGACCGCCACGGTGGTCTAGCGGTTAGAACGCTGGCCTTGTAATCCTGGGGTCTCGGGTTCAATTCCCGACGGTGCCCGAATTTATAACTTGTGTTGGGCAAGGCCGTGGTCTAGGCAACACGGAGTTTTCCTCCGAGGGCTTCCCCGGTTTCTCCGTGGCATCCCAACAATTACTCCATTCACACACAGAAGAAGGCAATGGCAAACCACTTCTGGATCATCTGCCAAGAACGTATATGAACAGGTCCCAGTCCGAGAAAAGGATGGAAGGATCCTGTTCATATGGACCTGTCGTCAGACAGAACACTAAATAATAACTACGAAGGCCTATTGCAACGGAGACATAACTGATACTGTTAAGGTAAAGGCGTTTAGTTCAGTGGTATTCAACCATTTTTTGTTCGCGTACCCCCAGATATAATTTCCCCAAAGTTATTGGTGTATAATTCAAGTTATACATAGTATATAATCTACATCTAAAATAAATTAAACAAATTACATTACTGATTATTCAGTGTTTATCATAAAATAATATATTTTTTTTAAATTTCACGTGCCCCCTAATATGTCTTCGCGTACCCCAGGTTGAATACCACTGGTCTAGTTAATGTCCGACAGGTAAATACGTCCTATAATGGATTATTTAAATAAACGAGATTAAACATTTAATTTCTTGAAGAACTGCACTGTGTGAAACAAAGGCTAGAAGTGTTTTTCCTTTCAGACGCAATTTGCTAAGAACGTACAAATTCACGCGACATAAAAATCCAGACGACACAGTTACAGGCTAATTGTCCTGCTGTTTCTCTAATAAATTAATATCAAGGCCATACGAAACCACAAATAACGAAACTATGCAAAACGTGTTCTAGGATTCAGACCGCTTCATCCATTTGCTATCGCTCGTTTCTAAACGTTGCATCACTTCTAACAGTTGGTTCTCATTTCAAGTAGGCCAGCGAGGTAAGTAATAAATTTGGACAGTCAGAGCTTTGCGAAGTCGAGTTCACATGCTAAGATGAGTGTGCATGCAGTTAAATTTAACTAACACGTTTTAACTGTAACATTCGTCTTGTATTAAACCAAATATTTCTGACACCGGACCAACAAAATTGCAGTCTTCTGGAAAAAATATCACTAACGTACCCTTACATGTATTTCCCTCACACAGACGGTAACCCTGATAGTATGAAGTGTACGATGACATGATTTTAATATTATTCATGAGTAGCTGTTACAGTGAACTGCCAAAATAAGGAGACTAAACCTGTCGCACGCATTCACCCTCGTGTTTTTGTGTGACGTAAAGTCAGTGATTACCGAATCTCGTACTATATCGTCCTTGACGGTTCGGCCTTCATTTCTAACAAGAGGTAGGGAGGTGCATCGTCGTCATATGCCGTGGCGGAAATAAAGTGATTACCACACTTCCTGGACTGATACACACTGGGACTCCACATGCGATAACTTGAAAATTCCGGTAGTGGCCAAGATAACTTTACCGGGCCAATGATTAGCAGCAGAGAAAATACGTCATAATTTTAAGGCACTTTTATCATGTTGTTATGTTATGGGTGGTTTTGTAAATACGATGGGAAGACAATTCGCGTGTTTAGAATTTCAGTGGGGAAATTATTGTTAAACATCCACTTTGAGTACCACGAAAGAGGAGGTTGACAATACAGTGAATCTTAGGTAAATGGATTTTAAGAATTGCAGATGTGTGGAAGTGGTTGAATGTGAATCCGGATTTTCGCATAAATAATATTTAGTACAGTCTTTACCGCCAAGAGAACAACGGATATCATTTACAAGCATCGAAAGAGATTTCAGGTTCTCAAGGTGGTGAGTATCGATAGCCTTATGAGATATTACGCCGCGTAATTTCGAAAAAAGGTTACCGACGTTTCAGAGTTGCGTACTGCCGCTATCAGCTTGGAAAGGGTATGAGACACTATTATTTTACACGTGTCATCATCATCATAAACATAATCAGTTCTATTGTGGCTATTGGGAGTGCATATTCTGATATTATTATCTGTCTTAAGCAACAGAAATGCTGCATCTGATGAGACTTGGTATTCATACTTGGTACAGAAGGTGTACTCACTAAAAAGAAGCAGATAAAATGCTAACTGATGTTAAAAAGGTTCTCTGGTGAAAGATGGAGACGTTTTGCGTGAAGCTTGTTGAATAAAAACGGTTCAAATTTACAAATTTAGTCGGCAAGTCGACATTTTAGCGCGCCAAAATGTGATCGTGTTGTGTGTTCCGGTATAGAAATGACTGCTAAGTCACGGACGGAGGAGTAAGGTGTGAGTGACGGAGAATAAAAATAAACAACGAAAAGGATTACAAACAAACGAGGAATGGAGAAGGAGAAATGGACAGACGAGAGAGAAAAGATTTATGTTAAAAAAAGACGTTGCATCAAGTGGCTAAGAAAAGATTGGTTATAAGGAGAGGTAAATAGGAGCGGTTTTCGTAGGAGGGAGAAGGAGGGACGGAAGATGATTCTCGTGGAGGGGACAAGGATCGCTAGTTTCTCCCGAGCACGAACCAGTCTAGATCTTGCTGGCGGTGTGTCGAGAGGCGTGCGGATTGCGCATCAGAGTGGACATCGAGTCTCACATCGCGTGTTTTGTGGCGGCATCGCTCGGGAGGTAAAAATATCAAAGCGCCTGCTTTAGAAAACAAAGCACTGTGCAAATCGTTTGTTACACGTAAAAGAACAGAATACTTTGTCGGGATTTACTTGTGTTCTTGCACGCATATTGTCCGTTATCTTCGTGCGTCTTTCAAAATCTAAGCTGTACTGTGCAGAGCCCCTGAACGGAGGATTGTAGAATAAGTCTGTTGAGGTAGAAACGAGAAGCTCTCCCTCCACTTTCGTTTCCTTGCTAACATGATTCTGCGTGGTAGGTGATAGTGGGTAGCAAAAGCTGTTGTTGGCGGGCCTGTTTTATACTCTCTCTCTATGACGACGGGTGACGCTATTGATGACGTCACGCACATGATCGCCCCACTGATGGTAACAGCGCTTGTACAGAAGAACAAGGAAGACGAAGTGGTATTGGAGTCGGCATCATATTTAGCGTTGGCGGAACCTGTGACGAAAACGGTGAGTATCTAGTCTGCTTTTCTCTCTTTAGCGCCAACTTTCAGGCAGAGGGTTAGTTACTACACATGCACCATTGTGTGTGTTCATTCATATCCTGGCACCGGACACACATTTACCCTCTCCCCTCTACGCCATGCAGACATCAGCACAGGACATACCCCCGGACTTCTAGTCGTCACTTTGACACTGAGCACTATGCAGTCAGCGAATGTGATAGCAGTAATGATACTATCGAAGGTTCGTTATCGTTGTTATTATCGACTGTTCATGAAACACCATGCTAACATTAGCGATGAGAAGGTCGAGTCGGGACTTTACACCTGTGAGCGGCAGTGACATTGGAGACGATGACGAAAATAATGAAGACGTAGTTCTCGTTGGGAATTCACCTACTTATCAGCAAGTTAGTCAATATCAGCGACAGCCACGTGACCCAGCGTTAGTTACAACTACTACTACTAGCAGTGTCAGTGGCGGTGCTGATTATAGTCAGCGACATCGGATTGTTACAACTGGTAGAGGGGAAGAGTTTGTGGACATACTGCAAGTGCAACAGTTGCTGCTGGACAACGCTAGTGTCGGTAGTGTTTCTAGTGTTGGTGTTGGTGCAGGGGTTTTGGGTCATCTACACAGAACTGCGACCACAGAGTATCCACACGTAGGATTAGAGGCTGCTGTCAGGGGTCGTATGTTGCTTGAGAGTTGTCACGCCACTTCGCCGGCAGTACCAACCCCGTCGTTTCGGCACTACCACCATCCACCTCAGACACAACCGCCGCTGTCGTCGACCCCGTATCATTATGCGAATTACGTCCAGCAACAGCAGCATCACACTTCTAGTGTCGAGGATTTATTTGCCCTCTGGCTGGGATCTTCTGCCGCAGGTCGGTCATTTTTATTCTGATACAGAGTGCGAACTATATCAAGGCGTCGATCGTTGCTTTTTGATCTTCGACATTCTTACATTTTTGTGTTTCGTATGTTAATTTTAATGTGACCTTTCTTCGTTTAAAAACTGTGCCAGTACAAAGCACTGAGATCTCTTTATACGGGTGGTGGATTAGCAGAATGGACTTTTTGACTTCATACGCTCTTTAATAAGACAGAAATGGGCTAAATCGAGTCAATATTCAGCTGCTTCGAAATTGGTCATTTCGAGATTAATAATTCTGATTCTATATAGACCTATAAGGAAGAGACTATTGTGGGTCTGTTGTTAATTACGAAAATGGAAAATTCTAAAATTCTGAAACTCTGTACCTACCTCAGATATCCGCGCGCGCGTGTGTGTACACTAAATTCTGCTTTTATAGTGTTATTCTTTTTTTTTCGTGTATCAAGGACTGTTCTGACTTATTTTGTTGTTTAAATAATACTTTGCAGTCCCTTTATCACGGACGATGAAACGTAATTTAGTGATATTTTAAGGAAAAGGTCAGAAACTGAATGTTCACCGCGTACTATAGAGCAGTGGTATTCAACCTTTTTTGTTCACGTACCCCCAGATATAATTTCTCTTCAACTTTGTACCCCCAAAGTTGTTGGTGTATAATTCAAGTTATACATAGTATATAATCTACATCTATAATAAATTAAACAAATGACGTTACTGATTATTCAGTTTTTATCATAATATATATTTTTTTTTTAAAAAAAAATTTCACGTACCCCCTAAGATGTCTTCGTGTACCCCCAAAGTTGTTGGTGTATAATTCAAGTTATACGCAGTATATAATCTACATCTAAAATAAATTAAACAAATGACATTACTGATTATTCAGTTTTTATCATATTTTTTTAAAAAAATTTCACGTACCCCCTAACATGTCTTCGCGTACCCCCGGGGGTACGCGTACCCCAGATTGAATACCACTGCTATAGAATGACATAATTGCAACGTCGCGAGAAAGCCATCCCTCAGTGTTTTACAATAAGTGACCTGAAGTACCTTTATTCCGAGACAAAGTGCCGGATGAAGTCCCTAACTTAGTACTGAGGGTATGATAATGTGCCTCTAGCTTAGGGCTGCCACATATCTCGTGGTTAGCAGGGAAAAGCCAAATAATTCGCTGAGAAAATTTGCTCCAGTGCCACTTCGTCACCCGGATTAAAACTGGGTCGTCACTGGCAGAAGGCAGGTTCCAGCCGCGTGCGGCATTGCACAGCCAAAATATTGGAGCCATGTGTTTTGTATTGCAATTTAAATAAATACGGAAATATTAGGGAGTACAAAAGTTTGGAATTTCTGCCGAATTATGAGCAATGCAGATTGTCATATAATACACTTTGTTCGCAGTTCGAACATTTTCCAGATAAGTTGTCTGCATTATTATTGAGTTTCCCAGTTTAATTTAATTTATCTGTGGTTTTGCATGGGCGTGATATTTAGTTTGTCACGTTTAAGGAAAAACATCGACTAACGTCTCAGAAATGCGTAGGTCTACTGACGATAATATTTGAGCCTGAGAAGTATGACATTTAAAGTAACAGCGGATGTTGAAAACTGTACAGTTTGTTTCGTAATTTAGACTCCTCGCCCCAAGATTTTAGGGAAAGGAGTTTGAGATACGCGAGGCATGGGAGAGATATGTAATGTCGGAAACCCCTTGAGAGATCTAGACATTAATGGAGAAAAGAATAATGTGGGGAGGGTGTGGACTAATCTGGCTCAGGATAGGAACCTGTGACAACTTCTTCATAAAGGGATTGTTTTTATCAGCGTAACCACTACTAGCTTCACAGTAAGGGCTCTGTCCTGTGGAAGGAAACAATTGCATTATCCCAGCCATTTCCAAGATGGACTGAGGAAAACCACGAGAAATCTATCAGGATAACAAAGGTGAAAATCCACACATTCCTAACCTTAGCACGACATGCAATAATGTGATCAGTTACACTCTTTAGCGACCGCTTCGCCCCCGGTATTAATTAAACAGAATCTGGGTTCCTCAGTGTGGACCTGGGCTGTGGCACCGGATAGCTGATTTATATTAAATAATGGTGTAGCCAGAGTTTTCAGAAAGTCAGGAACCAATGCCTATATTAGGTCTGACAAGAAATTCGAATTGATAAAGGACGTCGCCCTTTGCACACAGGAAATGTCAAATGTACTCCTTCTCGATAGGCCGTACTCCTTCTAAGAAGTTCTTGGTGTTCATCAGAGTGAGAAACTGAACCTTGTTTACGAGAAAGGACCCTTAATGTAGGACACGTGGTTAGTCTATTAATATTTATGAAAAGCTTTATAACCAACAAATCCAGTGGTTGTTTTAAACACCTTCACTGGTCGACTATCGAGGAAGGGCCATGTTATAGCTTATAAAGTGTCACAAATGTGTTGATTTATGAAGACGATTTCGTAATTGGTAGCAATGATTTATTTTTCTTCAATATGACAGCATAAAGTTGGTAACAGCAAAGTCGGTGCGTAAATCTACAAAACTTTGACCGATAGATTCTGCTCTTCCGTTGTAACATTCGGAACAACATGTGCGTTAATCTGGTGGTTGCTTATCGTGGCATCATTCATACGACGCAATATTTAAATGTCGGATGCATATTATACCTGAATACTTAAGAATTAAATCATGTTGACTTTAAGAGTTTCAATTAAACTTTAATTATCAACATGTTTAAATATGTAATTTTAATTATTTGATTATAAGTACGAATCAAATTTCTTCATCAGAAATAAAAACCTAAGAAAGCCCATAATTTCGATACGTTGCATTATGTGCTGTTGGAAATCTATCCGCACTGCTTTAAATATCAAATTACTTTGGTCTCTCTCTGTTCAATCAATCTTTCTATTCATCTACCCGTCTATTCGTCTATTTATCTACCCAGGTGAGATCTTAGTTTCTCACGGCGGCAAGTATGATGACTGCTAACGTACCAAGATATATTTCTCTTTTTAAATATTTATTCACTCCCGTTTGACGTAAAATCGTTTCATACATGAAAAAGGGTTCATTAAAGCAGTCAGTATCTGGTAGTAATTATCGTTCCAAGCAACTTCTCAGCTTCTTGAGGAATTTCAAATCAAGAACCGAAGTCTTACTGATGAACACTCGGAGAGATGGTTGCAAATCGCAAGAACAGAATTTAAATAAAGATGAAAGATTATTAGAATAAAACAGTGTCAGATATCTAATTAATAACTGCTTTTATTAAAGAAAATTGAGTAACACGTCGACATCTTGGACGATTGTGTTGATCTATCGAAAACGAATGCATTAGAAATCGTGAGTCGTCTGTTTCAAATAAAGCTCATTACGACTGAATTAGAGACGATGGCAATTTATACTGCTTGTCGAAGTGGGGATATGAGATAAGAGGTCCAGTACCACCTCATTCATAGAATGGTATTTTGCTGTAAGATGAATAAGCAGTCAGTTCACGGACGCTGTGCCAGGTAGGCGTTTGTCTGTGACCAGACTTTATCTAGAAACCGTGCGTTCTGAGAAATCTACAATCTTCATACATACGCAAAGAAAAAGCTTTTATTTCATTTTAAATAAGTCCAGCGTCTCTTTATCTTACGTTTCGAAGTGGAGTAACAATTCAGGCTTGTACTCCTTATTGAAACCGGTCTTTCCTCGCAAATGGATGTGTTTTATAATATTAGATAAATAATTAAATGCATAGCCCTTATTGGGAAGCTATTACTCGCTCAGGAAGTCAAAAAATTCCACGGCTTTTATGGATCCCTGTCCATTGCAGTGTTCAAAATACTGTGGGCTAAAATTCATCCTGAGCTACACGAAAAATTCTACGTAGTGACATTGGCTTTTCAAACACTGTTCTTTGACCTTCAACGATGAATTTTGTGTCTGCGACAAATTAACCTTACCCTCTGAAGCCGAAGCTCGTCTAAATAATATTTAAGAATTCAGTCCGTACCGCAAAGAAAACACATTTCACGTTACAAGATCGATTGGTTAATGCTGTTTACAATGAGAATCATACGAAATCTATTTACTCTTGAGGCATGTGAGGCATACTAATTACCACTGGGCTAGAAGGGTAACAAAGCCAATTAGCTCAGCAGTATCGCAAAGAGGGGATTTGTAAAATAGGAATACTCCGGATTGGACTCGTCATTTCCGCTGTTGTTAAATTCCAAACAAAAAAATGAAATCTTACAATCAGTTGATGATCCTTTTCCTCTGAGATGTATTTAAATCGGTATCTCCATAAAGTAAGACATCGTGTTCATAAATTTGTTCTAAGCTGTACAAGTCTGCAAGCCCAACACATGATAGCCAGTATATTATTTATTAAATACAGCCTGGGACTGTAATATATGAGGAGCACGGCATAGAACGTGCCATTAATGATTTACTATATAGTACAGTTTTCAATATTGTTTTTTTCCCCAAAGGTAACAAATTTTCGCTTGTGTGTCTGTTTACTGAAGTGTGAAAATTGATCCCGTTCTAGCAAACGGTTGGTAATCAATTTGGGATTCCCCTTCAGTAATCCGAAATTTATGCTGCCTGGCCCTGATTATGGAGGTAGTAAGCATGTCTGAAACGTCGGTGAACTATTACGAAACGACATAGAAGACAGCCATCTTCGTACTCGCAGCCGTGAGAACCTCAGTTCTCACTTCCAAACATTAAATTACTTTGGTAATACGATTATAAATAATGCCATGGACTTTACAATCCTCTCATTTGTTTTGTTAATAAGGAGATAAGTAAGAGAAAATCTTGTGTTGAAGACATGCTGGTTATTTATTATTATAATATTATTTAGTGTTCTGTCTGACGACAGGTCCATATGAACAGGATCCTTCCATCCTTTTCTCGGACTGGGACCTGTTCATATACGTTCTTGGCAGACGATCCAGAAGTGGTTTGCCATTGCCTTCTTCTGTGTG